GTTTTCCGGGTCGCGCCGCCCCCCCCCCAGTGTATCAAGGGAAATACCTTGAAATTTGAAAAAGGCAGTGTTCTGGAAGGGAAGCGATTACCCCCCCTTCCCCCATGCTCACTTCCTTAAAAAATTGCTGCTCTGATCTTATGGTGAACAAAACTTATGCTGCTAGGACTCACAAGGCCTATTCTGTGCGCCTTTCCTGTTGCATGGGAGACTCCATCATCTAGATGCATACGTAGTGAAAACCATTTTGATAAGAAGATTTCCAAATCAGAAGCTAAGCCGCGTCGGCCCCCGGCTACTATATGGATGGGTGACCTCTGAGGAATATCAAGGGCATGATGCAGAAGTGGGCAATGGCAAACCGCCACTGAACATCTTTTGCCTTAAAAAAACCCAAGTCTAGCTCGCCACCTGTAATGTATGGCTGCGAGAGTTGGACTATAAGGAAGGCCGAGTGCCAAAGAATAGATGCTTTTGAATTATGGTGCTGGAGAAGACTCTTGAGAGTCCCTTGGACTGCAAGAAGATCAACTCAGTCAATCCTAAAATAAATCAACCCTGACTGTTCCCTGGAAGGCCAGATACTTAAGCTGAAGCTCAAATACTTTGGCCACCCAATGAGAAGGGAGCTGTCACTGGAGAAGATCCTGATGCTGGGAAAGACTGAAGGTAACAGAAGAAGGGGATGGCAAAGGATGAGATGGTGAGACAGTGTTATTGATGCAATGAATGGGAAATTAAGCAAACTCCGGAGCACGACGGAAGACAGGAGGGCCTGGCGTGATGTGGTCCATGGGGTCGCGAAGAGTCGGACTTGACTGTTCGACTGAACAAGAAAAGCTCACCACCTAGTGGTGCATAACACTAAAAGAGCTAGAACTTCTGACTGCCAGACAATCTTAGGATCTCCTGGCTACACCACACACACTGCCATATGATGATGATGATGATAAAATTATTGTCACTTCTCCCCCATGTTCTCTTTCTGATATGTCTTATCACCCACTCCCTGCTTCCAGTGTGAGTAGCCTGGCACAGGAAAGACAGGGCCACTGAACAAACACCAAAAAGAAGGGCAGCCTCAGCTGTGGTCACCCCACAGCACTGGAGAAGGGAGGGAGTACAGAGGACGGCAAAGGAGCTGGCTTGCT